AAAAAAAAAAAAAAAAAAAAAAAAAAAAAGCCGAAAAATCCCAACAACCTAATAACCAAACCCCCCCAAAAAACCTCTCTTTATCCCTTGCTTGTTTCCGTCTCCTAGCAGTGAGGTCGTAACATACGTGTCCCTAGCAGGGGCTGCCCCCGGTCTCCTGCTAGGTCCCCTGCTTCGGGGCTGAAGGAAGAGGGGCAGTGGATGGCTGTGGATACTTCTGTGTGTCCGTCTGCGAAACGCCGGCTGAACCACGGCAGCTGAGGCAGCTCCCAACCGATTTCTGCTCTCCCTCGCCGCGGGATTTTCAGTCCCGCCGGGAGACCGGTCATTGCCTTGGCCCAGGGAAGGAGAGCTCTGCCGCGGCGGGGGGAAGCGCTGCGCAGTGAGCGGGGCACGGCGCACCTGGGCGCGGAGGGAAGTAGAGCAGCGGGCGAGGGGGAACAGAGGCCACGGCGCGGCCGTGGAGCTAGGACGGGGCTGCCTGTCACCTCCGGGCAGGATGTTTCCCCCCGGGGAGAGGAACTGGCTTTGGGGCTTGCGGGTCTCTGCTCGTATCTTGGAGGTAAAAAAACACAGGATGGAAAGAAACCAGAAGCTTCGTTTTATTTTATTTTGAACGGATCCGTCCACATGGCATGGGTTTTCTTTTGCTTGGTTAAGCCATGAAATTTTTCGCTCTATCCCACGAGAATCTACATCTTTTTAGTTTTTTTTTTTTTCCCTCGCTCCGCCTCCTATAAGGAAATGAGCCTTGTTTAGACGCCCAGAGCACCCCCTCCTTCCCCGTGGGCAGGGAATGGATCTCAACTCCGGCCGCCTAATCCTCGCTACGGCTCCCTCCCCCGCCAGGGCCGAACTGGGGAGACCCAGGGATCAGGAAACCCGAGTGAAAAGAAAGGGTGAGAGCCCGGCTTCCCTGGGCTGCTTTGCCGTCCCTGCGCATGGCCCTCTACGGCGACGTGCCGGCTTCCAGAGACCAGGGAGTGGCAGGGGAACACACCACCACCCTAACGCTCTTGATGCCTTTCTGCTTTTCCAACCAAGTGGATGTATTTAAAAACGTCCGCGCGCTCTTCCCTCTTCCCAGTGGAGGCGAACTGGAGCTGCCAGTCCCCCGCCGCACCCAGTCACAGAGCGGCTGTCACCACTGTACCGATCTCCTCCCGAGAGCAGAGTTAGCAACCCTGCTGCTCTCCAAGAGGGCTGGTGCCTCGTTTGAACCCGTTTCAATTAAATCCTTCGACATTGTTTATCCGTATATGAAGAACACACAGTCTACACTGGAGTTTGTTTTTAATCTAGCAAATCCATGTGTTTGTCGCTGGTGTCAGCCTGCTGTTACAGAGACATTTTAATAGGCTTCATTATTCTTTCAAAATACTTTTCCCCCCTTTTCCTTTTCCCCTTTTTCCTTTTTCTTTGTCTGAACAGCTTCTTACTCTTTTGTGCACCAGCAAGAAACAGCGTGCGGTAGTCTCTGCACACTTCATCTCGCTCTTTCGGTTCCCGGATTTAATCAGGATTAGGTCTCAGTTTCGCCGTCAGGTTTCAAGCAGGGAGCTTGCAGCCCGCCTCCAAAACCTCTCTCTGATCCCTGAAAAGCAAGGAGAAAATTCGACCCGTGAAAACCATGAGCACCGCTTCTTCCCGACCCTTTCATCACTAAACAAAATCACGACGGGAAGGACACACGAGGGACAGAAAACCCATAGAAATCCGCCGAGCAACCTAGGGTCCAGAGGGATGGTTTCAGGTGCTCCTTCGCTTGTATGACAAGAGCTCGGAAGCTGCGTGTTTCTGCCCGGCCGCACAGGCCCGCCGGCGGGAAGGGTTTGCGTATAGAGGCGCACACCGGGCGGGGAACCACGCTCAGGTTTTAAGCAACTCTTTCGCGTAGTGATGAGGCGCCGTTGCCCTCTTACTTTTTTCCCCGCGCAGCACATTTCACGCCGCAGGGACAAAATTGTGCTGCTGCACCCGCGGGGCTGTGTCCCGAAAACGAGCTCAGCACCGAGCCGAGATGACACCCGCTCTTCTCCCGGCTGTCCCTTGGGATAACCTGGCATTTTCATCCCATCTCTCTTCCGCCGTTACCGCCCCGTCTCCTCTCCGGATCCGTAGCCTGTGCGGAGGGCAAGGACCAGGTTTCCCTTTAATTAGGAGCCTAGGAGTGCGGGGTGCCGCTGCTGAGGCACTCCCTGCCGCGGTCCCACCCTGACTGCAGCTGGGCCGGTACTGCCCGGAGTGTGTGTCTGACCCTCCAGCCCGCACCCCCTCTTCAAGGTAACCTACAGGACTGCTTTAGGATTGAGTTTACTTCTGCCTCGAGAGGGAAGAGTTCAAATCTTTTGCTCTTTCTTTTCACCCTTGTAGACGAAAACAGTTTGTCCAGCATAAAGAATGGTGTTTATTCGGTCGGGCAGGGTCTCCAGCTCGCCCGTTCGTGCTTTGTGAACGCACTGCTACATTACAAAGCCATGGCTACAGCGCTACCCTACTCTGGCTCTGCTTCCCTGCAACCTCACGAGATTATCAGCCCTGCTTTCACGAGCTCTTTTGTCCTCCTCTGCACGTATTTTTATTGCTCTGTCAGCCGGATTCCCTCTCGCTTTGCGCTCCCCGATTTCGGATCAGCCCCCGCTCCCAGCGCTCTTGCTACGGCGGGGACATCTCTCCCCTGCGGCCGCTTCACGCTCTCCCCTTCACGGACAGACCCGCGGCAGCAAGGCAGAAGCCCAGGTACCCAAGATCCAATTTCACAACAAAAACATCTCAAAGTCACCTACAGCGAGAAGGTAGCTTATTGGAGCAAAATGCGAGGCATTTTAAACCTATTAAGCATCTCCCAGATGCAAATCCAATGGTGGAAAGAGAAAGG